TGGATAAAAGAAACAGAAGATTTGATCATTTGTGATTTTGTGTGTTTGTTTTTTTTAAGTTCTGTTTTTCATGGAGCACTTAATATTTCACTTGGATACTGAGGATATGAATAAGTCACTGTAGTATTTAATAGTATTTTGGTGTTCCAGCAGCCAAAGAACAGAAATAACAATTAAATTAATGGTGGCTAAAATAAGAATACAGAATAATACAACAGAAAATGTAAAATAGAATAAATAAGTTGGAATACAACAAAAGTGCAATACAGTCAAATTAAATGATAATGAGGTGGCCTGAAAGTACACTTTTTATTGTCCACAATGAAATAATGTACAACCTATTATCTTAATATAAGTTAAGAGAATAAGTACACCGACTAACATTATTCCTGCTCTCTATGTATGTTGATTGCCATCATTTTAAAAATATTTGACCCAAACCTCTTTTAAAGATCCTCGGTTTACAGTAGTAACCGTTATCTGTTTTCCATAATGACGTAAGTCATAAGATCCCGCAGTACACTATTCTTAACACATCAATCATAAATTATACGAGAGACTCGTGCTCTAATTGTTTTTCTGTTGATTCATATCATTAGGCTAAACATCGGCTTTTTGTCCTATTTGGACAAAATAAATATCGCATGTAAGATACTGTCACTAGAAAAATAGTTGCTATAAATATCCACGTCAGGGTCCGTTTGCTATTGACGAAAAGGTAAAAACAATAAATACTTCTTAATATATAAACCACAAAACAAAAATAACAAAATAAGTAAATTCTAACTGTATACAACTGTGTACATAAAACGATATATACTATAGAAGAGGAATGAAGAGATTGCCGTTATATTATTGAGTACTGAATGAAACAAAGGGATTTTATTTTTGAAAATCAATTCCAGTGTAAGTGCCTAGGGATTTTATTTTGAACTGCTCACTCTCTGCTATTGAAGGGGGTGGAGTCACACCTTGTTATTTCCTGTACTGACAGTGGAGATGTCCTGAGAGTGGAGTCTGCAGCGGAAGTGACTCCACAGTGGAGATCTGCCCTCGATTAATGAGGGGGCGTTGCACACAGAAGAAGCGGACGATCGGGACAGGACAGGGGTAATATTGCAGGGGCGTAGATTTAGGGTGGACGGAGGGGATGTGTCCCCACCAATATCCTCCGACCATTGAAATGTCCCCACCAATAATTTAATCCACTTAAAAAAAAATTAAAAAATTAAAAAATAGAAAACAATCGTGCTGTCAACATTA